AGCCACAACGCGGGCGGGTACCAATATTCTGCCATCAGCCCGGTCCTCAGGAATCACATGACACAACCCGTCCCTGGGGGAGCAGATTAGGGGGGGACGCAGGACTTCCTGTGAATAGTCCCTTCTGGGGACTGCGCGGCTCCACCCACTCCCGCTGCCAGTGAGGAGGAATCCCATCGCGCCCCTGAAATCCCGGCTGACAGCAGAATATGGCGGCCGTGCAACATGCGTTGTGTTATAACTGCACCCAGCGTACGGCAGGAGGAGGACGCAGGAGAGAGAGATACATGGGGGAAGAGGGAGGGCATAGATGACACGGAGTGGGGTAGGACGCACACACACGACACATATCACATACCCGGCGTGTATTTCCACAGATCCTGGAAGTGACGGTTCAGGCGAGCGTTGTATCCCCCGAACACGTAGAGCTCCCCGTGATATGAGACTGAAATGACACAGAACCCTAAATGAAGCGCAGAACATACCGCCCGCCCCGCTACATGTACACATACCGCCTGCCCGCCTCGCTACATGTACACATATCGCCTGCCCGCCCCGCTACATGTACACATACCGCCTGCCCGCCCCGCTACATGTACACATACCGCCCAGCTACATGTACACATACCGCCCAGCTACATGTACACATACCGCCCTGCTACATGTACACATACCGCCTGCCCGCCCCATGTACACATACCGCCTGTCCGCCTCGCTACATGTACACATACCGCCTGCCCGCCTCGCTACATGTACACATACCGCCTGCCAGCCCCGCTACATGTACACATACCGCCTCCCAGCCCCGCTACATGTACACATACCGCCTGCCCGCCCACTTATATGTACACATACCGCCTTATCCCTCACTCACAGGCCGAATGGCTCCTCCTCCCTTCGGGGGGCAATGTAGACTGAGGGGCTTCCAGCCAGCTCTCCGTCATCAGATCAAACACTCGGATTCGGTTACAGTAGATCTCATTGTTGGAGTGAAACGGTCCGGAGCGATCCGCGCGCCCCCCAAAAACAAACATCTTGTTACCGATCACAGTGGCCGAGTGAAAATCCCTCCAGCGAGCTGCTGAGCCCTACAGAGAGACCGACCAATCAGAATCCACCACATTTATCTTCATACACCCTACATATGCTGGGGAATGACAAACAATGAGGAACATGGAACATACTGCAACGCCCGGTCCCCTCACACTGAGGAATGCTGGGTATTACATTGGGCATTGCCTGGTTCCTCCGCCCCCTCACACTGAGGAATGCTGGGTATTACATTGGGCATTGCCTGGTTCCTCCGCCCCCCCAGACTGAGGAATGGTGGGTTTTACATTGGGCATTGCCTGGTTCCTCCGGGCCCCTCACACTGAGGAATGGTGGGTTTTACATTGGGCATTGCCTGGTTCCTCCGGGCCCCTCACACTGAGGAATGCTGGGTATTACATTGGGCATTGCCTGGTTCCTCCGGCCCCCCCAGACTGAGGAATGCTGGGTATTACATTGGGCATTGCCTGGTTCCTCCGGTCCCCTCACACTGAGGAATGCTGGGTATTACATTGGGCATTGCC